TGGAAGGTGAACCTCTGCAGGACGATGACCAGCACGCGGGGCAGGCTCCGCAGGCAGAGTGTCTGCATAGTCAGCACAGTGCTTGTCAGCACGGCCCCCTCACTATGGACGCCTGCCGCCCCGGTCCCCAGCCCCCCTGCCTCCGGGGCCAGGCTCCCTGAGAGGCCTGCAGCCCCAACCCAGTGCTGTCAGTCTGCCCGACAGGGTCCCCACTGCTTCCTCTCTCCTGGGCTGGGGTGTAAAGTAGGATCACCAGCCCCGAGAACAGAAGAGGGTGCAGGGCCGGTCCCCAGGGCTGGCTTCCTTCGAGGACATCTACGGGAGCACCAGCCCTGGGACAGCCACCATGAACGTGCAGAAAGGCAGGAGGCTCCCTGGATGCCTCCCCCTCAGGCACCCGAGCCCCTGAGGTCTCAGGGGCTTCTCTCCAACCTGACACCGGCTCTGGGGCCCTTGTGTCCCTACTGGGGGGACCCTAGTACTGGTCTCTGTCTGTGGCCAGCAGGGGATCTGCAGACCTGTTTGATCAGGGCGTGCAGGGCGCTGAGGCCCCTGGCTGAGGCATGAGTGTATCGGGATCTAGTACCCTCCTTCCCAGCACCTGGTCCCAGCCTGAGCTCAGGAAGCCATGGGGCCAGGCTAAGCAAGGGCCCAGGAGCCACTGCCAGCTGCTGCCCCTTTAGAGGGGACACCCAGGAATGAGGACCAGGGCTGAGCCTGAGCTGCCCTAGGGTAGGGCTCCACCAGCTCCCAGGAGGGCCTGCCCAGGCCCTGACTGCTACCCTGGTGGTCCCGGTCAGACAGTGCGGGCACACGTGTGCCCCTGCCTCCAACTGTGAGTCAGCCCGGCTGGGCCCTGCTGTGACTGGGACCAGCAGCACTCACCGAGCAGGCGTCCTCTTTGCGGTCACACTCGTCACAGAAGTACTGGTTGTCCCCTATGAACCACTCCTTCTGGAACAGCCCCTCCACAGCCTTGTCCTGGGGACCAGAGGGCAGCTCTAGCAGTGGGAGGGGACCCAAGAAGCCCCTGAGCAGAAGCCAAAGGCCCAGCTGAGGCTGCTCATGGGATGCCACAGAGGCGCTGTGTCTCCTCACAAGACCTGTGCCTTTGGCAGCAGGGATACCAGGCCGAGACTCCTGGGAGAAGTCTTGTTCCGGGAAGTGGGGTGTGTGAGGTCGGGCAGGAGCGGTGGGGCAGCCCTTACCAGGGAGCACGGGGTGCCAGGGGTTCCTTGCAGGACAGGCACGACGAGGAAGAGCCGGGCTTCCTCCAGCTGCGTCTTGTTCTCACAGCGCTGGCACTGGATCACTTGCTCCAGGGTCATCTGGAAGAACTTGGGGTGGGGGGGAGGAGGGACATCAACTGACTGAGGGCAGCAGGACACTGCAGCCACCCTGCACATCCACGGCCACAGGGAGGGGGCACTGTCCCCACGTGCCTGTCCAACCTCGGGCCCTGCCCACAGGGCTGCCCACCCCCAAGCTCTGAGCCTGCAGCCCCAGCAGACATCCCATGGGAACAGGGCACCGGAGACCAGATCAGAGGGTCTCTGGGTCCTGGCCCCCATCGCTGTGACAGCAGCTCACTCATCCCTCCTCCAAGTGCCCAATGAGCCTCCTTGCCCACATCTGAAAGGGAACTCCTCAACTGGCCTTAAGCAATGTCCCCTGCCCACCTGGGGCTGGCCTCTGAGCCTCCTGTCCCTTCTGTCTCTCCCCCAGGGCTGCCTTGCGGGCCTGCCTCCCAGCTCCCTGTCCAGGCAGGGCCACTGTCTATGTCCCAGGAGTGGCTGGGCTGGCTGGTGATCTCCCAAATCCTTTTTGTGCCACTGCCCTGGGACAACTGGATCCCCCTCTGCCCAGAGCCCCCAGTGTTGCTGCAGCCGCCCTTATACCTGTCATCTGATCTGTTCCAGACTGCTGCCCCCACCATGCCACCAACAGGTGAGACCCCCTACCCTCTCACAGGGGGCTCCACTGCAACTCCCTGACACTCAGAGGGTCCTTTCTGCATGTCTGTCCTCCAAGGGATGGACCCAGTGACCTCATCCTGTTTCTCAGCTGGAAAACCAGGGGCCCTGGCCGCTAATGGCTGTGGGGGGAGGGTCGGGAGCCCCTGCAGCCCACCCCACTTCCAGGCCCCTCACCTGCCCCAGCTCCCTCTGCTCAGCAGTCATCCTGGTCAACAGCATGTGGAAGCACAGCAGGGCATCCTCCTGGCGGTGCACTGTGCATTGGCGACAGGGACAGGAGAGGGTCCTGGCTGAGACCCTGCCCTGCCCACTGCCCCCTATCCTCTGCCCCTCCACTGCCCCAGTCTCCCTAGGGTGGCCTCACCAGTGAGGCACAGGTGGGAATGCCCGGCCCAGACAGGTGGTGCTGGAGCTAGTGGTGAGGAGGGCAGCCTGGGCAGGGACCAGGGGCTGTGGGCAGCAGCCCCTGCCCTGGGGTGCCTGTCCCGCGCAGTCAGCTCTCACCATCCCTGAGCTCGAGGCAGCGGGTAATGGTGGTGGTGGACACGGGTCCCTGGGTCTCCTCCAGGGCCTCAAAGAGCCTGCGCAGCTGTGTGACGAGGCTGGACTCCCCCTGGTCCTCGCATCTGCAGGGGCCCGAGAGAGAAAGGAAGGCCAGGCTCGGCTGAGAGCCCCTGCAGGGCGGCCACCAGCCAGCCTGTCTCCTCAGCCCTGCGGGGCCACTGCCACCCTCTGCCTCTGTGGGACCAGGCCACCCAGCTGCAGTCAGCCAGGGACTGCTCCTGGCCTCCTCTAGCAGGGGGTGGGGGAGAGTGCCGGCCTTAGGGTCTCAGAGCAGAGCTAGAGGGTCCTGCAAGGGAGGAGGGGCCCCCTCTACCACCACTCATCTGCCGGCCCTGCTGGGAGTTGAGGTTTGGAGGAGCCAGACCAACTGACCTGTTCCTCTCAGCTCTCACTTTGAAGTCCAGCCCACCTGGTGGCATAGACTCACCCCCAGCGGCCCAGCCTCCCCCTCTCAGAGCTGGAGAAAGCACTGGTACCTAGAGGCAGCAGCTGCGCTCAGCTCCAACCTCACTCCCTGCCCCAGAGTCAGTGCCCACTCACAGAGCCCCTGCTGGACCGGGCGGAGCAGCCCCGGGCAATGCCCAGACTCACTCTCAGGGAGTAGAAAGCCCTGCCGCGTGGTTTCAACTGCTGACCGTGGGCTCAGCAGCAGCCAGAGAGACAAGCACGAGGACACAGGGCTCCTGGGGTCTGCTGTGCGGCCCCCGGAAGCAGATATGCCAGGTGGTGCTTAAGGACAGGGGTCCTCCCAGCCCACTCCCCTTGGCGCCGGTTTGCCTGCCCCGCCCTCCCCTCAGCTGCCCCACCTGCGGACAGCGTCCTGAAGCTCCTGCGTGAAGAAGAGACACTGCAGGATGCTGTTCAGGTAGCAGGTGGCACCCTGGTTGATCAGACCTGTGTACCCTGCAGAGAGGACCACAGGGTGGGGTCAGCTGGAGGCTCAGGCAGATGAGGATGGTCAGGGCCAGCCTGGTGATGGGGGCTGGGACGGGAGGGCAGGGTAGGGTCACTCTGTGGTGTCTGTAGCTGCTGAGCCCTAGTCTAGACTGATCCCCTGTTCCGGAGACTCACCTGGGTGCTGGGCCTGGGATTTGTGGTGACCTTGGAACTGATCTTTCTCTCTGGTCTTCTCCTCCCTGGCATCCTCCTGGTCTTCCCCTGAGCTGCCCTCCCAAAAGCTGGCCATGTACTTATTCCAAGTGTCCTGGACGAAGGAGTAGCACGAAGATTTCAGGGAGAGCAGCAAGTTGAAGGGCCTCGCAGAGAGCGGGATGGTCATGCCACAGCTGGCCTCAGAATCAGTCTGCTGGGCTGGCCTCTGCCTATCCATCCCTCCAAGCCTGCATGCACTCACTGGCTGCCTGCTTTCGCTTTCCTGGAATGGGAGGGGCTGGCCCGCCCAGAGCGCTGGCTCCTCCCCTGGGCCCCAGGAGTCAAGGCTGGGAGTGGCCCTGCCTGTGAGAGCCAGCCCCCCACAGCCCCGCCCCCACTGGCTTACTAGGAGGAAGAGGTTCAGGGGGCAGCACATCCAGGGTCAAGCCAGGGCCTCCAGCCCGTCCTGGGGGCAGAGAACAGGGGCGCCTTACTGGCTTCTCTGTCTCCTCCTGATCCCCATATGGGCAGCCCCCAAGGCCAGGCTGCCTAGGGAGACCCCTTGGAGGGGACCTTTAGCAAGTCCTGCCTTCTCTCCTAGGACATTTTTGGTGCAGTGGGGGCCAGGTACAGCCCTTCTGCCCCCTTGCCTGGCTGCCCAGCGCCACCTGCTGGGCACAGGCGGGACAGCCTGAAGGCTCCTCTGTCAGCACCAGGGGGTCCCAGCTGACTGACAGCCCAGCTGGGCAGCAGGCAGGGCCTGGCCAGGCAGACTTCTCGCTGGTGAAAGGTCACTCGGGTCTCTGGTCCACGTTTCTGCTCAGCATTCGGCTTTGCTCCCGCGGGCCCGTGGGCGTTGGGGCTCCATCCTGAGAGGAGTCTTTCCAGGACACATCTGTCTTCCACACCTGCCCAGGTGCCTCTCTCTCCAGGAGGCCGCACCAACAGGACACCCGCCTTTCAGGGAAGTCCAGCCCATCACGGCGTCCTACTGGTCGGGCCCTTTATTTTTGTTGAAGGAACCCTTGCCCACTCAAAGCTGTGAGGAGTCTCTCCTACAAAACGCTGCGTGCACCATCCAGTGAAGGGGGTGCGTGTGTGAGGGAGGGCGAAGATCATGTCACTGGCGGGCCCCGCCCTGTGCATCTGGTGGTTCCGTCCAGAGAGCACGGTCCCCTGGGTGCGTGAAGGCACGTTTGCCCTGTTTCTGAGACTCGGCTGTCACAGGGTGGGCACCCAGAGGGCCCGCATCGTCGGGTCACCTATGTCAGGTCACAGAGACCAGGTGGATGCTGTGTCCCTTTCAGAGGCTTGGGAAAGGAGAATGGGGTCCCCTCCTCCAAATGCTGGTCTAACCGACTCTGTTCTCACAGGACAGATCTATACAAGATGAGAGAAGCTGTTTTTGTTTCACTGTGTTTTCAGAAAGGCACAAGTTTTAGAATGATAGGCCCAAATTGGGTGAACAAACTTTTGTGTCAGTAAAGATCTTATATTAGAGTGCTTCCCTGGCCAGAGACACTAACTCTCCAAGAGTGGGGGAGCCTGCAGTTCCTGGCTCTTCATGAGCTGGATGGGAAAGGTCCCTAACCCGCAGATAAGAATGGAGTCTGTGGCTTCTCTGGTCTCCTTGCGAGTCTGCGCATGGTGACAATCACAGGACAGCCTTGGGGACAGGTCAGAGGGTCCAGCTTCGGGTCAGAGCTTTGGAAAGCATCTACTTACGTCTTGACGCGCTATATGGTTTTCTTAACGAAGATTCTCCTAGCCTACATTGTAGTTCCAACACCAAATAACTGGGATAGACCCTTCAGGTCACCTCCTCAAAGCTATGGCTGCACTGCTGTGCTGGTCCCACTGTGCGGATCAACACACCAGGAGGAATCGGCCCATCAGCTGTGGGTTTGTCCTCAGCGGGTCAGTTGTTGTTTGTTAAGACCTGTGTGGTTTCTGCAAACATCTGTCTGCACGTTGCCTAGGGGAAAGGCAGGCAGTGGGCCAATGCGGAGCCTGGCAATGGGCAGGGCGGCCTGCTCCCATCAGCAGATATTCACTTGATGAATAAACAACTTGTTTTCTAGAGAGGCACAGCCAGTGACGCTTATGTATTCCTATACAGATAGACGCTTACATCGAAGACATGGTTCACAGTTGTAGAGGCGGGCAAGTTCCAAGTGGGTCAGAAGTCAGGATGGAGATGCCCCTCGGCATTCGGAGCCGAGGGGCTGAGACGTCCAAGACAGGCAGGTCAGATGGCAGACCTTTGCGTGGAGACAGAATTAATGCAGCGGCAGATCTGAGGAAGAGCCAGATGCAGGAGCCAGGTCTAGCCAAAGGCAAGCACACTTCTCCACAGAGTCCACTGATAATGGAAGCAATCCCCGCCCCTGAGGAAACTTCTTTTCCATTGACTCGATTGGGACAATGGCCTGAGTAAAGGTCAGAAAGCAAACCGGACCTTCTGCTGAAATCAAAGAGTTTACTGAAAAGACAAAAGCGTACAGGGCCGGGCAGGGCGTCGTCAGTTTTCAGAGAGCGCTGCAGCGATTGCGAATGTCCAGACAGAGAGTTTTCACTACGGAGGACCCAGAACTACACGAGCATTCCGATTGGTTGGACTCAGAACGTACACAGCATTCGATTGGTTATACCCAGAACTACACGAGCATTCCTATTGGTTGGACCCAGAACTACACGAGCATTCCGATTGGTTAGACCCAGAACTACACGAGCATTCCGATTGGTTAGACCCAGAACTACACGAGCATTATAATTGGTTTAGCCCAGAACTCCACGAGCATTCCGATTGGTTGGCATTGACAAAATCAGCCTTCCCCCGGCTTAAGACAATGGCGAGGGCGCTCACACAACCCTTGGTGAGTCACCGAGCACCCTGCTCTGTGTGCATGCGTTGGGCAGCGTGGACGCCCCCCCAGAGAGCAGGCGGGGAAGGAGGGGAGCCGGGCCTGCAGGCGTCCGAAGGAGAACCAGTAAGCGCAATAGGGGTCTGGCCTGCCCCTGTGGCAGGGCCTCCCCTTCTGCCAAGCACCTGCTTCCTTCCTTGAGCTCCTCCTCCCATCCCACCTGCCTTCTTACGCCCGGGGGTTGCTCGGAGCTGATCCCACGATGGAGGTGACCACTCTGCGTTGGGTCCCATCGTGGGTGAACTGCCAAGCAGCTGAGATGCCAAGCCGCTGGCCCAGCCGAGTAGACACAAAAGCTCAACTACCACACCCCCCACCTGTGGCAATCAGTGTCCTTATCCTGGCCCTGCGTTGACACAACCCCTGCACGGTGCCCTCCACACCCATTTGGCTACTACCCTGCTCTGGGCTCAGGTGCCACCTCACATCTTCCCACCCCTCTCCCCACCTACCTTTAAATTACTTTTCTTTTTTTTAAATCATTTTATTAGGGTCTCATACAACTCATCACAATCCATACATACATCAATTGTGTAAAGCGCATTTGTACATTCATTGCCCTCA